TCTGTGTAACCATTTTAAAAAAGCGTTCTTCCGAAATTTATTCAAAAACTTGCTAGTTTCACTTTGCTTTTTTTAAAACTCAAGTTGGGTAACTCTGTTCGCAAAGGGTGCGCATTTGCGAAGAGGGCCCCACCGAATTCTGAGGACACTTTTTTAATTGGCTCAAAGAGAGAAGTGGTCCCTCTTGTTATGTAGACTTTTTTAATATGATAGTAAATTGAAGGTTCAATGGTACTCATGGTAGTTTCCCTTGATAACGGTTATAACAGGACTCGCGTAAAACAGGGAAAAACTGCCGGTCTCGTCTGTCCTGTTATATCCGAGTTTGAATGTAAATAAGGAGGGGTGGGTGTAATCTCAGCATAAGGAGTATTGTGATTATGTGAAATCACAGCCCTATGATTTTTATATCGTTTTAAGTTCTGGCAAAACTACAATAAAAAATAGAGTGCTATTACCCCATTTTTAAGGTTTTTTAAAATTAAGAATTTGTCTTCCTCTTTCTAGTTTCCCTTTGTCTGCCTGTGTACATATAAAAGGAGGGCTATTTCCCAGTTTAAAAATGTCTCTTCGTACTTTGTGAGGCCAAAAATGTGTAGATCTGCCTTTTTTTAAATTGTGTATATCGTACCAGTGTAATATGCTTGATTAATACATAATTATCAGAGGCTTGAAACCGAAAATACTTCTTAGAACTTTCCCATCATCCCGGAGAACCCATGTCCATTACCTTTAAAAACAACAATTATGGTAGAGCATTGCTAAGAAAAAAACTCAAAATACAAAAGATGCGATCTTGAGCAAATTACACTAGGCTGCTTCCTGTCTTTTTCTTACGGTGAAATCATATTTTTGTTGCACAGGTGGCCTGGTGGTTAGGAAGCGAACATCGCAATTCAAAGGTAGTGGTTTTCATTCCAGGCACAGATCTATAACTTCGTTGTTTATAGTTTGCGTGTTTTATCCTCTATCCATACAGATCAATAATAATTACTATGAAAGGGCAAACTATAGACAGGGAGTTGACTTTTTTTCTGCTACTCACATAAAGGCTATGGCGGAAGAGGAAGGCCACGCAAAAGGTGGATTGAGGGCGTCATGGAAACCCTGGGAAATCATATTATCCCAATTGAAAGAGCTGTGGAGCTGGTCTACCACAGAAAATTGCACCTCCCCTCGACGCTTAACGACAACAGAGGATGAAAAAGTAAAAAAGTAAAAAGTAAAATAAAGTTTTAAAAAGGTAAGTACTCACGTAAAACGGTCCAGGCGCCTGCCCGACAGCGATACACTGTATTTCCTCCTTTCTTTGGGTTTGCCAGACAAGCTGTGCCAGACTCAACAGAAGTCTGGTCTCCCTCACTCGTTGACTTGACCTAAGACAAATCAAAACTTATGTTGGAAAAAAAAAAACCGCATTCAAAATTAACAACAGCCCTAAAATAATGTAAACAAAACAAAGCAGGTAATTTCTGAAGACACCAGTTTCAAAATTGGGGGGGGGGGGTAAGAACAATTATGGTTTGACACAATTATTATTGTAAGACTACTCATGCTTCATAGGCATACTTCTTGAAAATTAAACTGCTGGTAGCCTTATAGGCCTAAGTCTCGCACCTGTTGTTCATAGCACCGACATTTAGGTGACCTTTTTCATTACCAAACTACCTGTTCCCAAAATGGTTATCATTTAGATTGATTTATTACGTTTGTCTTTTTAAAAATACTTTCTAAAAGTTGATTTCCTTTTTGCTCAACATGTTATCATGAACAATAATCGGTGAAACAACATATGGTTTATTTAACACCAATTTTCATTTATACTAAAAATGTTTTGGTGTCCTTTTTGCAACCAACAATTTTACGCAAAAAAAGAGAAAATAGATCATAAATCAAAGGGAATTTTGCTTCGTATTACCGTAAAATCTGGGTTTTATGTGCGTATGTGTTGTGTGTGTGTGTGTGTGTGTGTGTGTGTGTGTGTGTGTGTGTGTGTGTGTGTGTGTGTGTTTGAGTGACTAGGCCTGTTATTCAGTCTAAATTACAGACAGGAAAAAAAAGGTGACAGAGGAAACTATTTACCTCTTTAAAAGACGGCGCCCCAGGGTGCCGCGCAGGAGGAAATTGCTTCTGGTAGTACGGTGGCCGGTCCGTCTCCATGACAACATCCTCTCTGTCTTCATCATGGAAGTCTTCATCCATCTCGGGCTGCGACTCGGACTCCATGGTCATGGCCATGGTGTACGTCACAGCTTTGCTTCTGTCCCCAACCCCGCTGTTCGGTGAGCCCATGTTATCGAGAATATACTCGACGGCGGATGGGGAGAGGCAAAATTCTAGGTCCATTGATCGCTGAAGATAGCAGCCCTGAAAGTGAAAGCAAAGAAAGCAAAGCAATCTGGAACATTGTTCCGGGTGTCTGAAAAAGGAGGACCTATGAACTCGGTCATCTTGGAACCAGTTTCAACAAAACTTCGAGCGAATAAAATTCAACCAGGGGAATGCTACATTTGTCAGTATGGAAAAAATCAACTAGATCTAACATATTATTCGAAAAATATCAAGTTTTTAAAACTTTCAATCCAAATTGAGTGAATCGTAAAACTTTGCAACTTCATTTTAAAAAATCAACTCTATTATCCTATTTTAAATTATCGCTCTTTGTGTATTAAAGAAGAAATCTTTACAAATCGATATTGCCAAATAAACTCAGGGGGCGCTCATATGACCGTATGCAGTTGCGAGCGCCGTAAAACCCCATATTAAACTAAAACTCAGGGAGGTGGTGAATATTAACATTCCCCAAACAAGCTCCAATATGCCACTGGAAAATTTGAATAACCCCGTGGCATATTTCTGGGTCGATTCTTTGACGTTCTGTGAGTTTCAACTATTCGGTTGTTGGTGGGTATCTATCGGAAAAAAAGGCAAAATGTAGCCTAATAACTGAAGGGGCCTGAGTTGGGGAGAATGTGGCAATTGTAAACTTTCAGCTGATAAGGCATTCCCCAAATCTTCCTTGCAACCATACAAAGGCCAACTTTGACTTGTAGGATGTGGCTCTGTACTCCTGGAATCAGGCCTTGATGTAGCATAATAACACCTTCTCGCGCTCCAACTTCTCCAAAACGTTATCAGCAAAGTCCTAGACGGTCAGAGAGATCGTAGTAAGAACGTACAGGCAAAGTCAGATATTATCCATCCGATGTGAACGTCGTGGTTTAACCGTCTTTATACTAACCAGAATGGGCCGATCACGCTCATGTAGCTGAACGCTTTTAAGAAGTAAAATTTTGCGTTTTGCCCAACTTTGGTCGAACATTTTATATTCCTCCTTAATAGGTCCTTTTTTTTAAAGCACCCTGAATATATATATA